AACCCTATCATTTTAAGTCAGAGAATAAGCAACTGGCCCTTAGACCACAGCTATGGGGGAGAGTCTGACTCCTAGGCCAGCCAGTGTCCAGCCCACTATATCAATTTTAGTCTTTCATGTTAGGCATTCCTATCCTGCTCCTATGGAAAATCAAGGCAACCGACAATAGGAAACCCTACTTGAAATAAGGCATTTGAAGAGTATAAGTCACTGTAACTTACCTGATGATTTTTAAAGAGCTAGAAAATGAAACCCCATATGATTACCTAACAGGTCTGTGGTTAACTTTTCCTTCCTTCCCCCCTCCCTTCCTTCCTTCCTTCCTTCCTTCCTCCTTCCCTCCCTCTATTTTGGTTGTGCCGGGTCTTAGTATGACAGGCAGGCTCCTTAGTTGAGGCTCCAGGGCTCCTTTGTTGTGGCATGCAAACTCTTAGTTGAGGCATGCATGTGGGATCTAGTTCCCGGACCAGGGATGGAACCTGGGCCCCCTGCATTGGGAGCGCGGAGTCTTAAGCACTGCGCCACCAGGGAAGCCCCTTGTGGTTAACCTGTAACCTGGTATTCAAATATCTTCAATGCCCTGCTCCTAACCTTCGTAATCATAGGCCTACTAACTCCACACCCACACCCGAAAGCCATGATTGTGCAAAACTGAACTACTGATGGGTATACGCACTTTACTCCAGAGGAAATTAATCCCCTTGCCTTCTATTTCCAACCCCACTGGTCTCTTTGATCTATCAAATGCCACCTCCTTTGTGAAGCCTCACCTTCTTCCCTTCAGCTAAAAGTAACTTCTCCATTTTCTGAACTTTGCCACTCCCTTACGGCACCAAATCTCTCTAAATCTTGAATTATAGTTACATACATCTTATCTTCCCTACCGTAATAAGCATAGTGAAGGCAGAGTTTGTGTCTGATTTTTTACCTTAAACAGCGAGCTTTTGGGTAAGAGGCAATGAACATGCTGCTTAGTCTACCCAAGTCCCCATCCTCTCTCATTTAGGCTTGGGCAAAAGCCTTCTAACTCTTCCTTGGATTCTACTAGGCTCTTCTATCATGATCCTTTTGAAACACATCAGCTCGAGTCAGTTCCTTACTCAAAGCCCTTCACAGACTTTCCATGTCCTCACTACACCACTTGACTAATTTTGCTGCTATCACACTGGCCTTCTTGCTTTTCTTCTATCATGCTAACCACCTCCTGCCTCAAATGCCTTACATTTGATATTCTTTCAGGATAGAATAGTGGCTATTAATAGAATACAGGACTTCCCTGGTGGCGCAGTGGTTAAGAATCCTCCTGACGACGCAGGAGACACGAGTTCGAGCCCTGGTCTGGGAAGATCCCACTTGCCGCAGAGCAACTAAGCTCGTGCACCACAACTACTGAGCTTGAACTCTAGAGCCCGCGAGCCACAACTACTGAGCCCATGTGCCACAACTACTGAACCCATGTGCCTAGAGCCCATGCTCCACAACGAGAAGCCACCGCATGAGAAGCCCGTGCACCGCAATGAAGAGTAGCCCCGACTCGCCACAACTAGAGAAAGCCCGCATGCAGCAACAAAGGCCCAATGAGCCAAAAATAAATAACTAAATAAATGAATAATAAATTTATTAAAAAAAAAAAGAATACGGTCTAAGATACTAGGTACGATTTGCTTCCTTACTCAAATCAGGTTGTCTTCCCCCATAGAGATCCTTTTTGGCCATTCTCTAGCACCCCTGTTAAGGGTGAAACCAGAGTGCCTGGTTTGAACAGTTGGCTTTACCACTTACTGGGTGTATGATCTGGGGGCAAGTTAACCTTTTTCTTCCTCAGTTTCCTCATCAGTAAAATGGGGATAATAATTACACATATTGATTGCTTAGAACACTGCCTGCCTGGTACACAGCAAGCGTTCAATAAGTTATTGCTTTTCCTCATAGTGCTCATCACAATCTGACATTTTTACATATTAGTCTGTGTCCTACACTTGAAAGTAAGCTCCTTTAGGGCAGGACTGTTTTATTGGTGATTTTATCCCTAGCTCCTAGAGCAGTGTCTTGCTATAAAGAACTTCAATGCATTTTGTTGAGTATGAATGGATTTATTCAATGTTTAAAAAAAAAAACTACTGAATTGTATTATTTTCTTAAATAGGCTTTCCATAACTGTGTGAATATTAATATTGACAGATCTATGTATTGTACTTTGTTGCAGAGGAAACCTCCTTGGCCTTTAAATTCAAGTGGAAAATAGCCACAAAGAGGAACAATGTATCTGAAAAAAATCTAGTCCACTATACTGTGTTATTGAACTAGATCAGTTATAGCTAACTTATTATGTGATAATACCAGAGTACTAGGAGAAAAAATGGATAATTGTGTGCTTACCACACAGTAGCTTCGAATAATTACTAGCAAATTATAAAAGCACTTGAAAAAGAAAATGCAGAAGTTATACTTAAGATTTTGACAATTGTATACACCTGTGTAACCACCACTGTGCTCTAGATATAGAACACTTCCATCACTCCAAAAAGATCTCCCTGCCCTTTTTTTTTCTAACAAACTCCCAGTCTTTGCAAGGCAAACATGTGGCAGGCAAAATAACGACCCCCAGAAAGATGTCCTTGTCCTAATGCCCAGAACCTGTGAATATGAACATACCTGTGACTATATTACACGGCAAAAGGGACTTTGAGATAGGGGATTATCTGGTACCTGGGTGGGCCCAAAGTAATCACAAGAGTCCTTAAAAGTAGAAGAGGAAGACAGAAGAGTGAGTCAGAGAAAGGTGCTACAGTGGAAGGAGAGGCAGGAGAGATTTGAAGTGTAAGAAGCACATGACCTACTCTTGCTGGCTTTGAGGATGGAGGAGAGGGGCCACAAGTGAGGATGGAGGAAAGGGGCCACAAGCCAAAACATGCAGGTGGTCTCTAGAAGCTGGGAATACCAGCAAAGGAACAGGGACCTCAGTCACGATCATTAGGACTGAATTCAGCTAACAACTTGAATGAGCAAGGAAATGGATTCTGAGAGCCTCCAGAAAGAAATGCAGCCCGGTGGCAACTTGATTTTAGCCCAGTGAGTCCCATACTGGACTTCTGACCTACAGAATTGTAAGATAATAAGTTTGTGTTAAGCCCTAAGTTTGTGGTAATTTGTTATGACAGCAATTGAAAATTAATGCTGTATTGAAAATTTCTATGCTCTATCACTATAGAGTAGTCTTCTCTGTTTTTGTACTTTATATACATGGAACCATATAGTAGACCTCTTTTGTGGCTGGCTTCTTTCAATTATATGTATATATAAATATATATATAAATATATATATATAAAAATATATATATAGACACACACACACACACACACACACACACACACACACACACACCCATATATATATATATTTTTGTCGCACCCTGTGGCATGTAGGATCTTAGTTCCCCGACCAGGGATCTAATCCGTGCCCCCTGCATTGGGAACGAAGAGTCTTAACCACTGGACTGTCAGGGAAGCCCCTCACTTATAATGTTTTTGAGATTCACTTATATTGTTTGTAACAGTAATTTTTTAAAAACTGCTGAGTAAGTAGTCCATTGTAAATACACCATAACTTACTTATCCATTCTCTCGATGATGGACATTTGGATTCTTTCCGGTTTTGGGGTCTCAAGAAGATGTACATTCTCGTACCACTCTTTTTATAGACATGTTTCCATTTCTCTTGGGTAAATACCCAGGAGTAGAACTGCTGGGTCACAGGAGAGCTGTATGCTTAACGTTAAAAGAAATGGCCAAACGGTTCTCCAAAGTGGCTGAAATTTCAAATTCCTACTGGCAGTTTGTGGGTTCCAGTTGCTCCGTATCCGTGAATTTGAGCAGATTGTATTCTCATTTTATGTATGAGGAAAAAAAAGATACCCAGAGAGGCTGATTTGCCTAAAGTCATATGGTTTGTATGAGCCAGAACCAGGACCCTGGTGCTCTCCATACTGGAGTTTACCTACTTTCCGTCTGTACTCCCTCACCCTTCAGTGTTGCATTCTCTCTCATCTTGATAGTTGTCCATCACATTAGTTTAATTTTCTTGCTATTTTTATGCCTTCCAAGGGAAATGACAATTAAAAAAAGATGTAATATTTATTGTACCTATCTACTTAAAATTTTTTAATGTATAAAAATTACATTAAAACATCAATATGCAATTATTTTCCCACCACTCAAAAATTTTAATATGTATTGAAGATTCTGGACCAGAAAATGTGTAAAGAGAAGACAAGAAATATCAAAATAACTTATAACAAATTTCTAAAACCTCTCACATTTTAAATTTGTAAGACAAAAATATGATTTAAATACATGTTTGCCATTATGGTATAGATAAGAAAATAGTATCCATACTAAAATTAATTCATCCTACTTATCAAAATTCCTAGTATAAGAGTGAAAATACTCAGATGCTTATAAATAGGTATTCAAAAGTTTCTCTTGGTCAACATTCTTTGGTGTTCATAAAACTGCATATATTATTATGTATCTATTTATCATACAGTCTTTTCAGACTATACATTCAGTTTAAATTGTAAATAAAAAAATATAGATATTACTATAGAAAGTAGTTATAGAGTAAGTATTTTGATTTCATAGTGCCCAAGGGTTTATGAACAAGATTTACTTATTAAACTTTAAAATAACCACCTAATTCTTTGATATTTCTTCTACATCTACATGTTCCAGAAATTAAAAAAAAAGTTACATCTATAGGCAGAAAATTAACTCTGAGTTGACAATTATTTATGACTCTCTCCACTGGCTGTTCCACAACATATGAAAAGATGAAAAGCCTAGCATTGCTTGGATACCAGCTTAATAAGCAACTTGGAATGCCAGATGCATAACAAGAAATGGAATATTCTACTTTAGAGGAAGAAGACAAGAGTGAATAACATGAACACAACTTAGTCTAAGTTCTTTACCCTAATAAAGTAATTATTCATTTGCAAATATTACCAAAAGTAAAAAAATTTATTTTACAGAGTGGTTGGCTTTTGTAATACATCAAAAACTGTCATGTTATCCTTCACTATTCTCACTGCTGCCTCATATCAGTGGTTGAAGTTTCTCCCAAATAATTTAGTTTACATTTAAAGTGGCAATACAGGTTTTACTTAATGGATTTAAGTTATAATTAGAAACCAGTTTTATATACAGAAAATCCATAAATATAGAACTTTTATTCCTATTTTATCCTAGGGCTATGCAAAAAATTGACTAAAAATTTTTCATTTGGGTCTTTGTAATAAACATGTAAATACATTATTTACAATGGAGATGCTTTCTTACAGAAAGTAAACACACAGAAGTTATTTTGGTCTTCACTAGAATCCATCATTATATGTTCACTTTTGAAGATGATATGATACATCACGTTCACTTAAATTTTAAGTTTCCTGTTTTACACGTAATTTAAACAATTATTTTACTTGTACAATTAACGCTTCATTCTGTATTTAAATTTCCTTTAAGAAAGATTCCTTGATCCAACTGTAGGGAGCTTTAAAATTTTTTTCAAATACCACAAAATGTTTCTGTACAATTATGTGCAATTTTCTTCCTTCTGGCGATATTATAAATACCCGGTCATTTCATCTTCATTGTTCATATCCCAGGGGTAATTCCCAAGTTATCTCACATGATGTAAGTACCATCTTTGTAGTATTTCATGGACTCCATTTGTTTTGTCATAGCCAGAACATCATGAAATCCAGTACTTAGGCCAGACATATGTTGAAAGTATGCTTCTTTTTCCACTTGAATTGTTAAGTTGTTTACTCCAGCATCTTTAAGTATTCCTGTAACCTGTTATAAAAATCCATACATTTAAAAGCATTTAGATTAATGCATTTAGTGCACTTGGATTAAATAATAGATATCACATTTTTTAAAACAGCCACAGATAGTCAATGATAAATCCTTAAAATAATGTTTATTATTTAGCTGGTCAAATACTACACAGGATCTTTTAGAAGGCCAGTAAATCACTGACCTGACATTCAAAGTAGAAAAGGAAATCAGCTACTTTTCCAATTCGGTAGGTCTAGAATAGGGATACAGGAACTGTTTTGATCCTTATCTCCAACCATGACACATACCTGCCAACTTTATTATTATTATTAACTTAGGACTATATTTATAATAACTTATTTCTTGACCATCTATTGGGAACCAAGGTGGATTACAAATGAACTTTTTTTTACATTAACTTAAGCTTGTCCTCCACATACTAAAACTTGACTTTATTTTTTACCATTTTTGGATATAAAACAAATCTAGATGTAAAACAACAACTTATCCTTGGACAGCTATAAGAATGATATTTTTAAACAATTAAATGACTACTGAGCTGTATAACTTACAATGTGTGTAATTACCTCAACTGAAATTATTTTAAAAACTTAAGATTATTACCTGCTGTACTATTCTTTGTTCCAGCACATCAGATGTCACCTGTATATGAATTGTTCCTGCCACAATATTGGCAGAATGACGCCAAAAATGTGGGTCTCGGTATGATATTAATCCTTCAATTTTCTGTAGCTGTCAAATAAAAGGAGAGGTGATATAAATGGATTTGAAGGCTAATTTACTGAACACAAAGCAGTCTTTCTAGTCCAGAAACCATTATTAAGCTGATTTAAAAAAAAAAAAGTAATAAGGAGAGCCCAGAAATGAGAAAGGAATGGGAGGGACAACTAACTTCAAGTAAAGGTGTCTAAAATATTTTGACCTGGCAGTGATGCCAGGGAAGGAAGTTTGGAATAGGAAGTGAACAGGGTTACACAGGTGACTTTAAACCCATTTTCACCGATGTAAGATGTACTTTGCCTAGTCTAAACATTGGATACGTTCAATAAACCATGTTGTTTCCTTTATATTGATACAGACATTCCAGTATTATTTGTCATATTTGAGATAACACATGCAAAAGATATCCTTCATGTTCAACAACGGAGGGCTAGTTAAATAAATTATAGACTATCCACACAATGTAACACTACCCTGTCATTAAAGATGTATTAGAATATTTATCAACATGACATAATTAAGTGGGGAAAAATTTACAAAGCAGTACAAAACATTTTTTTGGCCATTTTTATTTTAAAAATATTTTTATACAGAAAAATGACTCAAAAGTGTTTCTGGGCTTCCCTGGTGGGGCAGTGGTTAGGAATCCACCTGTCAATGCAGGGGACATGGGTTCAAGCCCTGGTCCGGGAAGATCCCACATGCCACGGAGCAACTGGGCCCGTGCGCCACAACTACTGAGCCTGCGTTCTAGAGCCTGTGAACCACAACTACTGAGCCCACATGCCACAACTACTGAGGCCCACGTGTCTAGAGCCCGTGTTCTGCAGCAAGAGAAGCCACCGCAATGAGAAGCCCACACACCGCAATGAGTAGTCCCTGCTCACCACAACTAGAGAAAGCCCATGCACAGCAACAAAGACCCAATGCAGCCAAAAAAACAAACAAAAAAACCAATAAATAAATAAATAGATAAATTTAAAAAAAAAGTGTTTCTTTCCAGGTGGTGAAATTATATGTGATTATTATTTTTTTCTTTTTTCTACTTTGAAGCTGTCTGTAATGGATATGTATTATTTTTGAAATAAAAAACTTTCTTTTTTAGTAGGATGTATTAGTCGCCAATTATGACAAAGTGAGAAAACTTTACTAATTTTATTTATGAAACCAGTGGGTTAAGATGCTATACCTTAAGTATTCAAGATGCCAACTGTTCATCAGCAGATCCTAATTACTTTAATATGATATGTCAGGGACTTCCCTGGTGGCGCAGTGGTTAAGAATCCACCTGCCAATGCAGGGGACACAGATTCGAGCCCTGGTCCGGGAAGATCCTACATGCTGTGGAGCAACTAAGCCCATGTGCCACAATTACTGAGCCCACGTGCCACAACTACTGAAGCCCGTGTGCCTAGAGCCCGTGCTCCGCAACCAGAGAAGCCACCGTAATGAGAAGCCCGCGCACCGCAACGAAGAGTAGCCCCCACTCACCGCAACTAGAGAAAGCCCGCGCACAGCAACGAAGACCCAATGCAGCCAATAAACAAATAAATAAACAAACAAATAAATAATAAGATATGGCAAACCACAAGCTGAAATACATTCTATTTTGTGTTTGGTTTTCCTATGAATTGCCTGTTTATATTATCAGTCCATTTTCCTACAAGACTGTCATTTTCATTTCTCATTAGGTCAACTTATTTAATTTCAAATACTATTTTAAAAGGAAGAAGACTAGTAAACAAATTATACACAGTACCTTTTCTAAGGCAATATGTAGTTCTTTTTCATATTCTGGTGGCAGTCTCAGAAGGAGAACCTGACAGGCATCTTTAATCAGTGGGACAACACTGAGAAATATTAATATAGCGATAAAAAGAGAACAGAGGGGATCAGCAATGAACCATCCAAACTGCTCTATAAGAATGGTGGATACGATCACACCAATACTGCCAAGTGTGTCTGCCAAAACGTGTAGAAATACACCTACAAGTAAGATACATAAAATATTAAAAATTAAAGCACATTTAATTTAGTTCTTTTATTCATTCTACAAATATTACGAGGTACCTATTTATTCACCAGGCACTCTGCTAGGGGCTGGTACTTCAAAATGACTAAACATGGTCACTTCCATCAAGGAATTCATGGCATAGTGGTGAAAGTAAGGATGTGGGCAACTATTACCAGTGTGGTGAGTTTTATGATGGTGTGTGGGAAAGCTTCCTAGAAATCATACATGAGCCAAGTTTTGACATTACCTAAATTATTTCTACTAAAATATCAGAATAGGGAATTCTCTGGCGGTCCAGAGGTTAGGACTCCGCACTTTCACTGCTGAGGGTGAGGGTTCAATCCCTTGTTGGGGAACTAAGATCCCACAAGCCATGAGGTGTGGCCAAAAAAATAAATAAATAAATAAAACATCAGAATAAATATCTCAACATAAATGATACTTCCCCCATATTTTTTTTCAGTACAATAAAAATTTCTTAGTTCTTTTATAGTGAAAGTGCGTAATCCACAGTTTCCCTTGCAACTAATATTTACTCAAATGTCACTATGAAAAGGACTCTATAATTACAATAATTTATTTTTAAAAATTGACATTTATGAACAGTTGTGAGCATTTTCTGTAACAGATGACTTTAGATCTCTTTTTAGTTACAGGTTGGTTTTTTAAAATAAAATTGTACCAAGAGCCCAATACTTAATACAAATAAACAATGTCAATTCAGAACATAGTTGAAAGGTAGGACAGTATCTGGCAAGGACTCACCCCTCATGTTAGCATTCATGCCTCTGCCTGCAGATCCGTGGCTGTGACCGTGCCCATGGTCACTGTGTCCATGCACATGGTGTGAATGGCTGTGATCAGAGGAGTGACAGCTTCCTTGAGAAGCTCCATGGGTATGGTTATGGGCATGGCTAAAGGCACAGATACCAATAAGGTTTACTATCAGCCCTCCAACTGAGACTGGCTAGCAAAAAAGAAAAAAGAAAACCTTTAAATTTGTAATTAAAAAAATAAACTTGTTATTTAAAATTTATTATGTTGCTATATATGTTTTTTGGTTTATAGTTTTGAAAATATTCATAGTAAAACCTCATTAAATTCAATAATAAAATTTTAAAAGTGTGAATTTTAGAAGAAGCATTTAACTTTCAAATACCAAAGTGCTCACAAGTAAAAGGATTTAGATTTGCTTTAACTAAATGATTAAGAATAAAAATGTACTTGATTCAGGGTTTATGAATAAATAAATGATGCTAAAGTTTTGTTTTGTTTATTTAAATAAAGAGTTTGAAAGTACTGCTTACTAGAGCAAGTATACACTGTACCTGAAATCTCATTTATATTACTAGGTAAATATCAATACTTTAAAAGGCAATGACTGTAATTTACTAATGAGTGGATTACAAATAAACACAGTCTTACTGTTTCTTAACTATAGTAAAATTTCCCAAAGTAAAAAAAGTACAATGGAAAAGCATTTTTTAAAAAACAAAGTAAATGAGATTATCTTGATTTAATGGTGCCACAATAACACCCCAAAGGATACTTACCCTTGATTATCCCCTCTTACAAAATGGTTTTGAATAGTAGCTCTAGCTCAGGGCACTATTTAATTTACATACATCTACAATTTCTCCTTTAGAGAAATCCATTTGTTTTATTTTTAATTTTTTAAATTAAAAAACAAATTTTAACATCTTTACTGGAGTATAATTGCTTTACAATGGTGTGTTAGTTTCTGCTGTATAACAAAGTGAATCAGCTATACATATACATATATACCCATATCCCCTCCCTCTTGCATCTCCCTCCCACCCTCCCTATCCCACCTCTCTAGGTGGTCACAAAGCACCAAGCTGATCTCCCTGTGCTCTGTGGCTGCTTCCCACTAGCTATCTATTTTACATTTGGTAGTGTATATATGACCATGCCACTCCCTCACTTCGTCCCAGCATACCCTTCCCCCTCCCCATGTCCTCAAGTCCATTCTCTACATCTGCGTCTTTATTCCTGTCCTGCCCCTAGGTTCATCAGAACCATTTTGTTTGTTTGTTTTTAAGATTCCATATACATGTGTTAGCATATGGTATTTGTTTTTCTCTTTCTGACTTACTTCACTCTGTATGACAGACTCTAGGTCCATCCACCTCACTACAAATAACTCAATTTCGTTTCTTTTTATGGCTGAGTAATATTCCATTGTATATATGTGCCACATCTTTATTCATTCATCTGTTGATGGACACTTAAGTTGCTTCTATGTCCTGGCTGTTGTAAATAGAGCTGCAATGAACATTGTGGTGCATGTGTCTTTTTGAATTATGGTTTTCTCAGGGTATATGCCCAGTAGTGGGATTGCTGGGTCATATGGTAGTTCTATTTGTAGTTTTTTAAGGAACCTCCATACTGTTCTCCATAGTGGTTATATCAATTTACATTCCCACCAACAGTGCAAGAGGGCTCCCTTTTCTCCACACCCTCTCCAGCATTTATTGTTTGTAGATTTTTTGATGATGGCCATTCTGACCGGTGTGAGGTGATACCTCATTGTAGTTCTGATTTGCATTTCTCTAATGATTAGTGATGTTGAGCATCCTTTCATGTGTTTGTTGGCAGTCTGTATATCTTCTTTGGAGAAATGTCTGTTTAGGTCTTCTGCCCATTTTTGGATTGGGTTGTTTGTTTTTTTGATATTGAGTGACACATATCTTAATTGTGGAAGAATGAAAAACTAAACAACTGTTATAAGTCAATGTTGCTAAAAGAAGATTGCACAAGATACAATGGGAATATTCAGAAAGGGAAATCTAACACACTTAAGGTGGGAAGAGAGGGACTAAGGGAAAGTATCCCACCAAAGGTAACTTTAGAAGCAAAGCCTAAAAGGGCAGAAGTGAGGGAAGGGCGTGAGAACTATAAGGAACAGCGCATGTAAAGATTTGGAGGTACAGGGAAAACATTAAAAGTTGCCATAGCAGTAATTTAATCTAGAGTACAGCCTTTGAATATTTCCTCAGGTATTCAAAAACACATCTTCAAACAAAAACGTTTAATAAGGCAGAAAAGAAACTGTTTTAGGATATTATCTAATATTTGACTACTAGCGTATTAGAGAAAAGTGTATTAATTAATTTCGAAGAGTCAGCCGTGTAAATGTAAATAGCAAGATAGGAAGTTATGTTAATTTAAATTAAAAAATAAGTAAATAAAACCTTCCTAGGTCAGTAACTACAAGTAGTTAAACTTTAGCAGGGAAAAAGCTGTATGAGTTTGAGCAGAAATTCAAATAGGAAAATGAAAAGACTTACTGTTAACATGTGTGTGTCTAATTCCGGAGGATCAATTAATCTAGCCACTGATTCCATAAACACGAAAAAAGCTATTACCACTAGAAAAAGCCCATTAATAAATCCAGAGAGAATTTCTATTCGGCCATACCTAAAAATGTAGAATATATTTTTAGAAAAGGAAAATGACAAATATTTTTAAAGTATAAACATTATTATGTTACCAATGAGGAAATGATTTTCAATGACAGATTTTCAATTACACAAATAGTAAGACTAGAAAATTACCAAGTTATAAATATCATACTAATGCTGGAAGGTTCTTTCCATACATATATATTTGTTGAAATCTTATATATTTATCAAAGTCCTTTGTCAACGTCCCTTCTTACACAAAGCCTGTCCTAATTTCTTAGCAAGAAGTTATTTCTCTCTCCTTTAATCCTTTGGTGTTCTCTGTATCTCCGTCACAGCACATAGATTGGGCTTTGTATCAAAATTTTTTGTAATTTGGGGTCATCCATCTTTCAAAATATAAACAGCTGAAGTAAGAGCTGAATTATTAACCTATTTACAATAGTTCTTATCAAAATATCTTGCACAAATCAGGGATTCTAATATTCGCTGAACTGAATGATGACTTAGTGAAAGGATACTGCATCATTTCACTAATGATGACTTAGTGAAAGGCTACTGCATGCATAGCCACTTTAAATTTTGAATTCTCTTTCTAACTGCAAAGATGTGAATGACCATGAACATTCCATTACCTCAAAGAAACACTGTTGGCCAAATAGCTCACTATTTAACTGATTTTTTGCTATCTACCTATGAGAGGGATTTGTCAGGGAGTATACAGTCTTAAGCTTACTGCCATTCAGTATTTATCAAATGCTTGGTTTAGTTTCTCTTATCTACTTTAAATTAAAGAAAAATGAAGCTCTGAAAAATTAAATTTGTATTAAAAGTAGTAAAATTTTATTCTATAAGATGGAATTTGCTACAAGCCTTGACAGTCAGGGTACCTACCCATAGGAGAAAATCCGAGTTGCTTTCCATCTACTCATCAGGGCTGCAAAAAGTCCCATGACCAAAGCAGAGCAGTCAAAGAGCATGTGAAATCCATCTGAGATCAGACCCAGACTATTGGTCAACACGCCATAGAATAATTCCACAAAGGTAAAAAGCTAAAACACGTTTAAAAAAAAATAGGAGAGGAGTATGTTGGGAAATACTGTTTCAAGAGAGATTTATCAGAATTTAATCATAAGGATTTTAACCTTTAGTTACCCAAACCTTACTTGAAGATATTATATAACTGTCTCTTTCGTTATTTAACTGGTTCTCATACAAGAAACCTCATTTCATATAAACTATAAGGAATCAAGCTAAATCAGATATGTCTATCTTATAAACTATTTAAAAGGGGATAGTTTTATTTATATGTCTGTAGAACTAAATAAACTAGACTATAAAATGTTAGCAAACTGGTCAGTAGTGAGATCTTATAAGGAGTAGATAAAAATCTTTTTTTCTTTTTGGCTGTGCCGTGTGGCTTGTGGGATCTTAGTTCCCCGACCAGGGATTGAACCTGGGCCCCCGGCAGTGAGAGCAAGGAGTCCTAACCACTGGACCACCAGGGAATTCCTGATAAAAATCTTTATAAACTACTATATCTATTAATTTGAAATAGCACACTAAACCAACGTTTTTAAAATACTTCAAAAAATTGTTTGTTTAAGTAGTACGAATATGATCCTGTAATCTTTCTAATACTTAGAGAAAATATAATTTTAGCCCATTTCTAATTACTAAAATTATTCGGGAATTACTAAAATTATACCAGAACTGTCAAAATTAAAAGATTAAGCTTTTAAGATATGCCACTAATATTTAAAACTCTTACCAGATTCAAGCACAAGAAGTAAAAGATCTGTCTAGAGTCATTCTCCTCAAGAATTTGTTTTAGTGATTCCTTAATAAACCTAGGGATTGACTGGGAGCTATGCTGAAAAGCATCACCCATGAAGTTATAAAGAGGTGTTCCTTCAGGAGAATATCCAATTAGGGTACCTTTCTGTCCTCTCTTAGAAGGAGATGATAAGATGTTGGCAGCTAGAAACGGAAGAAAAAAAAAAAAAGGAATATTACAAAAGTTTAAAAAATTTAAGCCACCACAACCCAACACAGTATCTATCAGCACTAAATGTAGGAAGCATTGAACAAATTCCCAAATTTAGTAAATGACTGAACATCAGAATCCAAAAGATGAAATTTGCTAAAGGGAAAAATGCTTACACAAAATGAAGAATATAGCGCTCACTACCACCCCTCCAGAAAGGACGTGTTCTGTGCTCTCCTGGTGTGCTGCTTTGTTTATGGCCCGAAGCTGGTCTGTTATTGGATGCGTCCAAAAATTTCCAAAAAGTAGAGCACTAATAAAAATGGGAAAGGATCCATATCGGGCACATTTGGAAACTTCCATTTTGACTGAACAAATGGAATCGACATAGAAATCCAGGATCATGACAAAAAAAACAACCGTTGTGAAAGGCATAATGAGAGAAAACCAAGACTCGACTTTACTCTAGAAATTAAAAAAAAAAATTGTTAATACCATACGGGTATAAAGTTCACATCTTATATTTTAGTTAATCCCTTTATGTACAAACAAATATTCCCATGATTCAATATGATTTGTAAAATGCCAAAATATAAGAGTTATAAGATATTGGCACACTTTACTAGTATTCCCCAAAGTATTAAAAAAAGAAGCATTATTGTTTAATAATTTTATAAATACTTGGTGATATATAATCCTTGGGTTTGTGGGTAGGTATTAAATTATTATTAATAATATTATTAGTACTTAACTGATTTCTATGGGCCACAGGAATGGGAGGGATATATAAATGTAATAGTACTTGATAATTTAAAGCCACTTGCAACATCAAATTGAAATAAAATACAATGTACTGAACTAAAATCTATAAATAACAGCAATTTATTTTACTTATTACCAATAAATTCCTGCTCTTACCTCAGTTGTCACAGAAAGAACAACGACCCATGGGCATAAGAGAAGCACAGAAACAATATGGGATAAAGCTTGAAGACGTTTGGTTCCACCAACATCTATAGAGAGTTTTCTAGAAGCTGTATGAAAACCAACTTTACAACACAAAGCCAGTACTAGCAATAATACTCCACCCTATGAGTAAAAGGAGATAAGTCTCATTAGAAACACACAGTTCAACACTCAAGCCTTAAATACATAATATTTAAAGAAATGGAGCTAGCATGTTTTTTCCATAACCCAAATTACTGAACTACTTAAATGGCTGGCAGTACTGTAAATTACTGATAACTTATTTTAAATGTACTTTTATAGCTACAGTTGCTGTAACTTTTCAGAATCTCTTGATCACCTTAGGAACAAAGAAAAGAACATACCTTGTGATCTGCCACACCTAAGAAGGCAATGGCTGTGTAAAGCATGTGAGTTAGAGCACTGTCATGATGTCCTTCAGCTAAGTGAGTTGGAGTGAAGGAAAAAAATTCCAAATATTAACTCTTTGAATCCTGAAGTCCTCCTGGAATTTTAGCTACATTATTTTGGGTTGACTATACACTAATCTGAGGGCAAACCTGACTATCCTCAACAATATGTTTCCCTTGAAAACAAAAGGAAATAATTAAAAATTTAATTTTAGGACATGATTTATAAATTAGAATGGCCTATATATATTTCTTTTGTTGTCTCCAAAACAATTATAATAGTACTTAAGGCACAGTTGTTAAATTTTAGTGCTTAACCTCCAAAAGACATATGCATGCATACTCTAAAGAGGACAAAGGAACAAGAGCAAGGAACCTCCTTAGATCACTCCTATCCAATGGAATTGGATATGCCATGTAAAAATCAGTGCTAAATCTGTTTCTAAGCCATTGACCACATAAGCCTCAGCAAAGCAAGCAACAAGCAAAAGGGTACAGTGGGCAACAATTGTCTAACAATCAACCTGGAGTTCTGCAAAGTCATGCTGTCCTCTTTCACTGTAACAAAGTAAACTGACATTAGTTAACTAATAGGTTTTACAGCAGTATCAGTAACCAGAAGGATCAAAACTGGTGTTCTGAGTCCTGCTAAATGGAGTGGGCAAGGTATGTAGATAGGAAAGAACAGTGCATGACTGCAGAGGAAAATGAGTAGATATATTTGATTGGAAAGTTGCGTTTATATAAGAGACAAGTGGGGGATGAGTTGGAAATAATAATTTAGAGCAAGAGGGAGAATACCAGGTTAAGGAATTTGAACTTCTTCTTTCAGGCAAGATGCCAAAGGTTTTTCATTTAATCTCAAAAAAGTTTCTATTTAATAATTGCCACTGACTTCTAAAAGGAGCATTTAAATTGTTAAATTACAAGAAAGCAAATAGATTGATTTTGTTGAGTGGTAAATCACCTATTTTTTTTTTAATAGCATCAGGACATTCTAAAATATTCTTTCATTGTCCCTAAATTTCTGAAAACTTAGGGTGCTGTAAAAGATATTGAGATGCTATAAAATATTTAATTTAGAATGAATTTATTCATTATTTGAATACTGATTTAGAATACCTACATCAACCTATGAAAGTTTCATTCATGATTGATCAGTATAATTCAGTCACTCCTTCATTTCCCATTGTGCCAGACTAAAAAACTCCGATCTTTTGCAAAAGGATACGGTGTTCAGCCATTTTAGCCATGAGATCATCATTGTCAAAAAGCAATAGGCAGATCACAGCAATAATGAAAAAAGCAGCCCCTCTTGTCTGAAAATGAAGAGAATAACAGCAAGAATAGCTTTTTCAAGTGTTGATTTTTAAGACCATGACTATACAAATGCTAAAGAAAATTTTTTTCAGATAAATATTTAAAGAAAAAATAACATCTGACATTAAAGTCCTTATACTGTACAACATAAATTTACAGTATTAACAGTAAGATACAAAAGTAAAGAGCTCCAACAAATTCTGTAGGGTATTTTTAGGGCACTTGACAATTTGACAACTTCAGTTGTCTCCTTGCTAGTACTGATCAGCATGTTACCATGTACAAACCATTAAATGTTCACAGAACTAATCTTCCTAAATGGTACTTTGCTTCTGTTTGAAAAGCCCAAGTAACTAAGGAATAATTAGTAGTGATCTAATTTATTCTACAACATGCAAGTAATAGAGAAGACAGCTGATTTACAATAATGTCAGTAACCTAGTTACCACTCTTCTAGGGAAAAAGAACTAAGAGCGCATGTTAAGAAAATTAGCAAAGTCATCTCTAATAGCTAGTAAAGGTATTAAAAGCTGAATACACTTCTTATGTTCTCATTCCAGGGAAAGGATTTTGACAAGAGAAAATTATAGAAAGGGCACACTATCCACGTTTATGCAAATACTTCAGATTTTTGGTACAGAAGCAATCTAAATAGCATTATTATACACTCTCTATTTACAAATTTATAGGTGTAATACCAGATATTTCGATAAAATAAAAATTTTAAGTGAAAAATGAGGATCCTATTTTATTCATTATATGACTACCACTACATTTGATAAATTCTCTATTAGTGTGGTAGGTATTTTGACAAAAGTTAGTATAATAATTTAAAATTTCATAATTTTCATTGAATCAGGACAAGGTAACATTAACAATACCCAAATATGGAGAATATAACTTAATCTTTTCTTAGCAAAGAGGGCAACTGAGAATTTTGTGATGCTTCAGAGTCAGACTAAGGAAAAAAAAAGTCACAGTCCTGGCGAGATGCCCAGATTCATTATTGACACTAATGACAGGATATTAAGATCCATACTCTCATTTCTGATTAGTAAGGTAAAATGTTCATTTAATGTTTTAAAGTCATTTGTATTTCTTTTGTGAGTTGTCTTTTCCTGCCCTTTGCTCATTTCTATTGAGGATCTTCAGCATTTTTTTAAACTATTTGAGTGATTATATTTAAAAAAAAAAAAGTAGGGGCTTCCCTGGTGGCGCAGTGGTTGAGAGTCCGCCTGCCGATGCAGGGGACACGAGTTCGTGCCCCGGTCCGGGAAGATCCCACATGCCGCGGAGCGGCTGGGCCCGTGAGCCATGGCCGCTGAGCCTGCGTGTCCAGAGCCTGTGCTCCGAAACGGGAGAGGCCACAACAATGAGAGGTCCACGTACCGCAAAAAAAAAAAAAAAAAAAACTTTTATCTGTGGCAATTTGTTATTGTTGTTAGTTTGTTGTTTGCACAATGATTTCTGTTACACAGATGCTTGTAATCATTATGCAGTCAAATGTACGTGGTTTCCCCTTTGTGATTTTTTTCTACTGGTTTTATGCTCAGAAAGTTCTTCTCTGTCCACAGATTAATTATCCATCTATATTTTATTCTACGCTTTTACAAATATCTTTTTTTTTTAACCACAAAAATCTTCAATCCACTTGACATTTATTTTGGAGTACTCTGTGAGTGAGGGGAAAAGATTAAATAGTGGCATATGCTTTAATACCCAAGGATCCAATTTGAAATCTACAGGCTGGGTAGACTCTGCTCTACTTGGCATGTTACTTTGTTCACTTTATTTTATTCATCTGCCTCCATTATTTAGCCTGAAAGCCCCTTTCAGAACAGAAACTATTAAACCTTATTTGCCTTTATTTCTCCTTTCCTCTGTAACGAGCACAATGCGTCATGCATAGGAAGCATTTAATTTGGTAAATAAAAGTATTGTAGGTGTAAGTTATAATTGCACATTGGTGATGCATTTACTGAAAAGAGATTAATACTTAAATTATGGAAGATGAATAGGGTCACCTAGTTGGCAAAACATTCATCAGACTTTACATATAACAAGTTCTTAGGGACGTATTTTCCAAAAATGATGTATAGGAGTTAAGAATGAGAGAGGGGAGGGATCAGGTATAGCATGAAGGAGACGTCTGTGGTGATCAATCAGTCCTGCACCTTGACTGTGGTGATGGTTACACAAATCTACACACACACACATATACACACGAGTGTATGTAAAACTGGTGAAATCTGAATAAGGTCCATGGATTGCACCAATGTCAATCTCCTGGTCTTGATAGTATAAGAGCTGGGTAAGAAGTTACTATTGAAACTGAGTGAAGGGCACAAGGACCTCTCTGTACTATATTTGCAGCTTCCTAGGAATATACAATGATTTCAAAATAAAAAGTAAAAATCAAAATGGTTGTGAGAAAAATTTATAATTAGCAGAAAAAGCCTCTGCATTCTTTTAAATGGTAAAGGATCCTATTTTACTGCCCTAGATAGTATTTTACATGTACATTTTCAATTTTCAAGTAATGAATAATGTAAAATTCTACCTTTGCTGGTCCTCCTCCAGAACTAGTGAACAAAACACTGAGCAGTGAGATGACAACAATATCACTGTGCTCGAATAGCAGCAAAGTCCTACAAAAATAAAACATTATCATTCATGAAATATATCTGATCTTTATCAGGAAGCATGAATTTCAACGAGAGTAAGGGAGAAGAAAATAAATCTTTCCCCTTGATTTTCATACAACATTATGGGAAAAATAAACATGTACAGCTGTTTTGGAAAATATTCTGGCATTATCTGTCTTAGGAAGGTTGAAGCTACAAATATCTAATAATACCACTTGTAGGATTATATCATACAGGTTTCTTGTATATATGTACCAGGAAACACTTTTAAGATACCAGCATTGTCTGCAATAGCCCAAAACTAGAAACAACCTAAATATCCACTGATGAGAGAATGGATAATATAATTTAGAGTATATTCATTCAAAGGACTATTATACAGTGGTAAAAATGAATGAAATTCTATGAATATATTAAGAAATACAGAACTGTATACTTTAAAAATGCTACAAACTGAATGTATGTGTCTCCTTCTCTCCCCCATTCATACGTTAAACTCCATCACCAACGTGACGGTATTAGGAGGTAATGAACACCTTTGAGAGGTGTTTAGGTTATGAGGGTGAAACCCCCATGAATGGGATTATTGCCTTTATAAAAGAGACCACAGAGAGCTCCCTCGCGCTTCTGCTATGTGAGGTTACAGTGAAGAGACAAGACGGCTGTCTATGAACCAGGAAGCAGTCTCTCACCACACACTGAATCTGCTTTGCCTTAATCTTGGCCTTCCTAGCCTCCAGAACCATGAGAAACAAATCTGTATTTTTTAAAAGTCACCCAGCCCATGGTATTCTTATTATAGCAGTCCCAATGGACTAAGACAAAAAGAGTGAATTTTATGGTATGTGAATTACATTTCAAAAAACTAACACAAAAGTGAATGAACTATATATATATATATGTGTATATATACACACACACACACACACACACTTACACACACACATACATACATACACACACACATACTCTACATGCATCAAAATGGGCAAGTCTCAAACACAACACTGAATGGAAAATATATGCTGCACAAAAATACATGCAATGTAACTCTATTCATATAAAGTAGAAAACTTGCAAAAAAGAAATGTGTACATATATGGTAAAACTATAAAGAAAACCAAGAGAATGAAAATCAAAATTTAAGATGCTGGTTACATCCAATGGTAGGGGGAGAGGGGGATACACAGGGCAACAAAGGAACTGGTAAGGTTTTATTTGGGGGGATACATGAATGTTCATATTTATTTATATTTATTCTTTTATATGTATGAATATTAAAAAAAAATAAAAACATTATTGCCAGCTAAAGGGAGCTTATAGGATCTACATGGGAACAGATTTTCAGCTGCTCATTAGAAAAATTTTCATTTTTCCTCCTTATTCAAAAATCTGTAATGAGAACACAGTAGTGATTATTTTAGTTCTGTTAATATTTGGGAGATTACAATAAAAAATATATCAGCAGAATGATACTAACCTAAAATAAGACAGGCTATGAAACACCAAAGGAGTCTTTCTAATCAAGAAACTGAATGACAATTTTAGTGAAAGAATGAGGGGGCAGTGTTGGCAGAGGAGCTGGTGGTATGAGTGGTTGTAAGGGCAGAAGAGATGACTAAATAAGGAGCCAAGGAAGAATTTAACAACTTTCCCCCTTCCTTCCCTAGCCTAACACACAGGGACAGTGATTTAGTAACAAACAGACCAAAAGATCACTTCATGAATAAGAAATTACCGCTCAATCATATTCAAGCATAAACTGAAAAGGTTTTATCCAAGCTGAGAAATCCCAGCCAGCTTTCCCACCATGCCAGGAAGCTGCTGCTGTCACGGACAGGGATATGACATTAGAATTATATACACCCTTCCTTTGACAAAGCACAGAGTAAACAAGCCAAAGGGAGCCAAACCCAGAGCTATTCTATTGTCTGGGAGAGGAGAAAAGACTTTTCACAAAGCATTTCCCACTGATCACTTTCTACTGTCCACTCCATCATCCTCAGTGAGACTCTTCAGAACACGCTTCATCTTATTCCTTACTTCTTGTCCCATATTCCGCCCCCCCATCAATGGCAAGGCACTTTTGCTTATAATTTTGAGATAGAGAAATATTAAAAGAAGACTTATGCACAGTTGCACCTGTTATAATTCCTATTAAATTAAGTGGCACTAAAGCAGTCCCCCCCCTCCCCGAACCGACCAATTTACATAAAAAGATCTATAGAGACTTAAGGGAATATGAAATGAGAGTTAAACTTATCTTTGATGATTGGCTCACTATTCCCAAGACATCTGTTTATAACCATATCTTTCAAGCATCTTCTGCGGGCAGTAGGACTTTCAGAGTTGGGGGGGAGGGGGAAGCATTTTTTAAAGATTTTCCTTTCCTCCTTATTGGTTGATTTTATTTACCATTTCAGACTTTTCATTTCTAAAATCAGCTGCTAAAAGGGATCACCAATGAATAAAAAGTCATGTATCCTAAATTTTTCTGAAACTGTTTGGACTCTAACTAGTAAAATATCTATGACAGATCATGAACAATACATTAATGGTATTCACCAAAGAACTAGGCCACAAGCTAAACAGGTCCTCAATATATATATATATACTCAATGAGTTGTACCCAATGCTATAGAAGTGAAAGAAGCATTTGTACATAACTGACAAACATTTGACATAAAACATAATGGCATAAAACTAATATTCAAAATGAAGAAACAAACATTCAAAATATGCATTTCTATTTACCTTAGTGGTCCACAAAGAGTGAGGCCAAAAAACCACAAAAGTGAAATGATACACCCAGCAACTGCATGTTTAAATATTTTGATCCACTAAAAATGGAAACAAAAAATTAAAAATTTCAGTCATATGTTTTGCCAAATATCTCAAAATCTTAAATAAAATACATAGGGAAAGATAATGGTAACACAAATATGTTAATGGCCAAATAGTTACATATTTTAAAATTAAACAGAAACTATTAAGATCCCTTGACTAAATCTAGATTTGCAAGATAGTATTCTGTTTTTCATTTTCTATATTCTTGTCTGTTGCTAGATCCTGAAATCTTTTTCTATAGCGTACAATTTTCTCTGTTTTTTACAGTAGTTCTCACTAGTTTGCTAGGAACACTTAATGTTTTAGTTTTTAAATTCTTCTCCAGCAGGGATATTCAGTCCTTCAATTATTTGAAAAGAGAGGGAAAAAAGTTAAGATAGGTTTTAACATATTAATCCTGTTTTAAAAAATGTTCTTGGTCTCTAAAACAGAGGTACTTAAATTCATCTAATAAAAAATCATGGCACAGGTTTCTAAGTTGTGGCATAAAGCAAATATGTAGTAGGGTGTAACTACTGTCCAAAGAGGTGATAATATGAGATGATGCAGAATGAAGGACATTTCTGGTATGCATCCTGAACCTCAGATGCTTAAAGGGAATAATAACGATGAAGAGGGTGACAGCTGATATGTACTGCATACGCACTGTATGCCACGCACTATTTTAAGAACTTTACATGTATTAATTCATTTATTCCTTATAGGAATAAATTCCTTAGGAAGGCATTATTATCTCCATTTTACAGGTCAGAAAATGAAGGTAGAGAAATTAAGTAACTTGCTCAAAGTAAGGTTTGTCATTAGAACAGCCATGAATTTGTCTGACTCCAGAGGCCTTGCTCGTAACCCTTATGTTTATCTGCTTCCCAGTGACATTTATCCTAGGCTTGTGGGCATGTCTACATGTCTTATTTGTAAATCTTTTCAGCATATGGATCCTGTATTAAAAAAATAATTATATGCACGCTGGAAACATTTTCTACCCTCGTCTACATTTTTAAACACTTCATTTTCTTAGCACTTTAGCATTTACTCTTAAAGCCTCAGTTCTGAAATGCTAAGTCAAGGGCAAGTTAACTCTGGAAATGTTCTGCTGAGCACTTAAAATCATTCAGTAAGTAACCCTGATCAAGGAAAGAACACTGCCTCCTGGTCCACTGCTAGGACAAAAGGATTCTGCAAAAGACTTACCTGGCGTTTGGTAATACTTTTCCCAGAAGAAAAAGGCTTTTGAAACAAAACCATAAAAAATGCAGTCCTGTGAATATTGAAACATTGATATATTAATATTAATTAATCTTATATACAAGGTGTGGTTTTAAGTAAAGACACTTAAACAAATATACTAGAATTTGAAGGGTATGTTAACCTCTAAAGAAAATATACTAGAGAACAATATTTATTTTAATAAGGCTTCCACTACAATATTTTGGGAACTCTTCTTTCTTTTGTATCTGCCTTCAGAACCAGTTTACAAGCCATAAAAGAAGTCTCAATATATTTTTATACTTTACTAAAGAAAATAATTCCTATCTTCTCTAAAACAGTAATAACAAATCTTGAAATAGAAATGAAGAAAGTACTAATCATATATCCCTACTTTTCATATTTCCAAAATAGTTATATAAAAATATATTCAAGTGGTGCTAAAAATTTTCTAGTCAAGAATCACTTTCCATGATTACTAAAATTGCCAGGAGTCTAACAGATTCTTTTCTTTTTTTTTTTTTTTTTGTCTGAGTTGGGTCTTTGTTGCTGCGCACGGGCTTTCCCTAGCTGCAGCGAGCAGAGGCTACTCTTCATTGCGGTGCGCGGGTTCTCATTGTGGTGACTTCTCTTGTTGCAGCAAGTGCGCTTCAGCAGTTGTGGCGTGCAGGCTCTAGAGTGCAGGCTTAGTAGTTGTGGTGCACGGGCTTAGTTGCTCGCAGCATGTGGGATCTTCCATGGACCAGGGATTGAACCCGTGTCCCCTGCATTGGCAGGCGAATTCTTAACCACTGCGCCACCAGGGAAATCCCTAACAGGTACTTATTAATACAGAGGTTGGTCACTATCAATCTCAAGGTCCAGAGAATCTTTACTTAGAGAGAATTTCTTACTAGGTGCAGAATAGTGTAAAATTTATACTGTAAGGGGACCCTATACCATGAAGGGACATGTAGTGAACACAGCCCAGCATGGTTTAACTTGGAAAATAAGGAACATCTGTGCCAAGACAAGTCTCAGGTGACATTCTATGCCTGCTGGAAGGTTAGACTATGCCAATAGGATGGTCTGGGAATCCCTAGGGTCCCTGAGGCCCTTTTAGGGAGCTGTGAGATCAAACTATTTTTTTCTTAAACATTTAAAAAAATTATTTTAAAAATATTTATTTTTTATTTGGTTGCGCTGTATCTTAGTTGTGGCTCATGGGCTCCTTAGTTGTGGCATGCATACTCTTAGTTGTGGCATGCATGTGGGATCTAGTTCCCTGACCAGGGATCGAACCCAGGCGCCCTGCATTGGGAGCTCGGAGTCTTAACCACTGTACCACCAAGGAAGTCCTGAGGTCAAACTATTTTTACAGAAGTATTAGGATATTATTTGTCCTTTTCACTCTTATTCTCTCAGGGGTGTATATTAGAGCTTTTCAGAGGCTAGTTCATGTGAGATACTGCAACAGACTGAATACTAACTCAGATATGGGGATCCAGCTGTATTCTATTAAGCCAGACATTAAATTTGCAAAAACCTCATTAACACAAACTAAAGCAAAAGTTGATGTCTTGGCAAGCTAATAGAATATGACAATCCTTTTTTTTTTTTTTAATCCAGTCTCTTGGTACCTCTAACCTTAGGTATTCTGTCTTTAAAAAAAAAATTATCAAGTACTTGTCAGGAGGAATAAAATGCACAAAATATTCTATGTAAAATATCCTAAAGATACTCAGTTAAAACAGGATTTTCAAAGAAATTAAAAAACATTAAGGAAAAAAAGAACCATACACACTCACCCAAGTTTTAATATAAAAATAAACTGAACAATGTGAACTACTTTCAGGAGGTCATATGATTCAAAAAGCCCCACAGCCTTCAAAACTTTAGTGACACACAGTAATACAATATATTTTGTTAACCTGAAAAATAAAAACAGAAACAAGTTTCAGTATCATTGAAATCACAAAGAACTCTGTAATCCTTTTTTTTCTTATTATACAAGTAATAGGGGTCTTTATGAAAACCATAAATATAAACAAAAAATGAAACAAACAAAAACTCAACTCACCCCTCCACGTGATAACTACTATTAACACTTTGGTATATATACTTTCAGATTTTTTGCAATATACATGGACGTATTATGTATGCATAGATACCGTCTATTAAAGAAAAAAAGGCCAAACTAAAAATAAAAATGTTCTTGATTGAGTTGCCTCAACTATTTTCTAATGTGCTTTTTAAACAATTACTCCAAACAAACAAAGAGAATAAAAACAGAAACCAAACCATCTGTCATGAAACGAGACTATAATATAGGAAGGGAGGGGGGAATGGTGAATGCCTTAGGTTTACCTCTCCTCTGCTTCGCTTAGTGACTGCAGTGAGTCACAGCTGAAGTGACCTGACCTACAGAGCCCTGAGAAGGCTCAGGAATCTGAAGCACCTCAGAAAGGGTGTGGAGAGCTGCAAAGAGGAGGATCATTAGGAAGTCTGCCAGGTAGTTAGGTCCCCAGAATCCCACCCAGCACAGCCAGGCAACCATCCCTCCTAAATCATGACAGGACAAGAGCTTCGCCTTTGGAGAAGTCTAGACATAAGGCAAAGCGGAAAAGAGGGATGAAGTGTTGGACTAAAATCATGGAGATTAAAAGGAAGTTTCCCTTCTTAACCCCACCCCACCTGCCTTCCCTCATTTAACTCTAACATCCTAACTGCCAGGCTTCAATCTCCCAGCAGGAGAACCCTTCTCTGGAGAAGCCCACCAGGGGACAAGCCCCATACAGGTCTTCTAACTAGCTTTTTGGGCCTCACTCAAATAAGAATGGCCAAATATGGATAATCAATCCTTTATGATAAGCCTATAATGAGAGACCAAACAAACTAAAACAGCAAAGAAATTTAAAAGATACAGAGATCACAGGGAATAGCAGAAAACAACGAAGAACTAGAAATAATATTCTTGGATAAGAAAGAAAAGTTCATCCATGGAAAAATTAGGCTGCCATAAAAAGAAACAAAAAAGAAGCTCCTGAAAGAGCAATCAGAAAACAGTGAAGAAATTATCTCAGTTTTCTAGCTTAGTAGTCTTCTTTGGTCATATACCTTTAGTAGTAAAACAAAATTTTGCACCTGAAACCGATTATTTGTACATTACAAACATGTACTACTCTCCTGATATTATGTTATAAAACATACACAAATTAGAAATGAAAAAGAATGAGATAAAAAGGTGAGAACTTCTAACATCTCCCCCCAACAGATCATCTTTGCAAGTCATTCAGGAGACTACTTTCTAAGTTTATATCTAACAGGTGTTAATACATTAAAAAGGAGATAAAAGGGATGTCCAAAGCCAGCACACCAGCAAGAATGAGAAGTCTCTACCAATGGGAGAAAAATACAAAAAAGCAAACACAGAAGTTTAAGGGAAACCTAAGTCATTCAAATAGCAGTTAAAACAATTTGATATGCAATGATATCAATGTATGTAGGATGGTATAAAAATCAATGAGTGTGACTCATTAAGTCCCATGGCACTGAGTCAACAAACAGCAATCTGCTTAAGAAGGCATGAAAATGTATATATTTTTGGAAGATTTTGATGCAACTACGAAAATAAATTTCAGTCCTTGAAAGAATGAATCTCAGCAATTCCAACATCTTCACTGTCCGATGGCTCATTTTCTGTTTTAGTCCAAATAATATCATAGTATATTAAAGAAAACCAGATTTGGAACAAAGTGGTTTTTCTTTTCATGAACATAATCTGGGGGGCTTTTTAATAGTGCAATCTGGGAGTTTTAACAATGTGAAAATTAATCACCAAGAAGTTAATAAAAATGTTATTGTGGAATAAAGTAAGTCAAATCCTAAAGCACAGAAGTTCCTACTTAATTTACCTGTAGAATAGTATAGACACTGAAATTTCTGTTTAAAAGATCAAGCAGATTTTCTGGGGTGATAAAAACATCCTATAGCTTGATTATGCTGAAAGTTACATGGGTATGCATTTGTGAAAAATGAAAACTGGTACCTTTAAAATCTATGCATTTTATGGTAGGTAATTTTATCTCAATGAAAAAAGGAGTATTGGAAAAAATAAATAAAATTAAAATTATGGCTATGATAAAAAAATCGAGTGTATTTTGTTTCTGGATTGTTTGCAGACTGGCTGAAAACACACAGTGCAACATGAAAAATCTACCAAATTTCTAGTAATTGTCTAGGTATTTACTAGAAAGTAAATGTATATATGCTAGAAGAAACAGAACACTAATATTTAAAAGCTGAAAAACACCTTAGAGATTCTCTAGTCCAATGCCTCTCATGTCACAGACTGGGAAGTTGAAGTCCACAGAGTTAGCTAGGGTCAAGTCCATGTCTCTTAAGTATGCTCTTTTAATATGTCACACAGAAAACCAAAGTTCATCCAAAAGGCTTTGAGGATTCCCATCTTCTAAACTGTTCCCAATTATGCATTCACAGTGGCCCACATATAGGGTAAAATAATCTTTAAATATGAAAAACAAAATGTATATTAAAACCTAAGATTAATGTCGATTTTGGCCCATTTAAGCTAGAGAAAAAAGTCAGATAAACTTAAGTAAATTAACTATATTAATGTTAATTAAATACTCCAGTCATGGTAGCAATTTATAATTAGCAAATAAAAATACTACTCTTGAGCTAGAAATCTTTTGTTTATTCAGTTCTTAACTCAGGGACTTGCATATAATATGTGCTCGGCAAATGTTTACTAAATGAAAGAATGCGAATTCTACAATTACACTTGTGTGATACAGTAATATCTAGCACAATAATGTAGATAGTGCAGTAGTACAGTACATAGCTGGCAGTCAAGCTTCTGGCAATTTAAACTGTCATCAACCCAGTTATGAATTCAGAATGAAAGACACACATCAAGTAGAGAGAGGAAAAGCTCAAAACCTCAAGTGCTTCACTCCTTAAGTTCTTAACTAGGTGTAAAAATAAAGCAGCAGGATAGAAGCAAGGACACAAAGAACAACACTGTCAACAAGACAGGGAGGGAGAAAACAAAGACCAGGAAAAACTGACAAAGGTACATTAAAAATCACAGCAATCTGGGGATTCTTGAGGTCAGCAAAGAGCCTTGTACACCCTCATGGGGCTACTAAGCCATTCTTCAAATATTCCCTGCTCACTTACTATGTGCCAGATGTCATCTGTGGCTAATGAGACCTGTCTGTCAGGGTGGTTTCAGGTACTACAGCCTTCCCTCTTCCTGATAAAAAGGCCTGATGCAGGTGGAACTAGTTCTGCATTCTTTCTGACTTCAAAGGAGGACTTTTATCTAAAATTTATCTTAAAAATATTATCAACATGTTAACATTCTCTAGAAAATGTCATCCATTTTATAATAAGCCTGAATATGAGAGCCACACTTGGGATGGCAGAGAGCAAAGACCAAGAATCTGGTCCCAGATGGTACTGCTGAGGGGCTGAACAAATACCAGCAACCTCTGGTTTCTTTTATGTGAGAAGAATATATCCGTATGTGATTAAAGCTCTCTTAGTTTGGTTGCTCACAACTAAATGCATTTCTAGGTGTTATCCAAGAAACTAAATGTGTAACAGAGGCCCTGCCCTCAAGGAGTTTGAGGTCTAAGGAAGACAGGCAAGAAACAAGTATTTATGTGACCCAAGTTAGTAGCAGAGATCTAAAGGAATAGATGTGGAAGTAACTAACTGTAACTAGGGAAGCAAAAGTCATCTTCAGAGCCTGAGATGTCTAAGTGTATATTAAAGACTAAGTAGAAAAAACAAACAACCCAATCAAAAAACGGGCAGAAGACCTAAATAGACATTTCTCCAAAGAAGACATACAGATGGCCAAGAGGCACGTGTTATTGCTAATTATCAGAGAAATGCAAATCAAAACTACATGAGGTATCACCTCACACCAGTCAGAATGGCCATCATCAAAAAGTCTACAAATAGGGCTTCCCTGGTGGTGCAGTGGTTGAGGGCCTGCCTGCTAATGCAGGGGACAAGGGTTTGTGCCCTGCTCCGGGAAGATCCCACATGCCGCAGAGCGGCTAGGCCCATGAGCCATGGCCGCTGAGCCTGCGCGTCCGGAGCCTGTGCTCCGCAACGGGAGAGGCCACAACAGTGAGAGGCCCGCGTACCGCAAAAAAAAAAAAAAAAAAAGTCTACAAATAATAAATGCTGGAGAGAGTATGGTGGGGATGTAAATTGGTGCAGCCACTACGGAGAACAGTAGGGAGGTTCCTTAAAAAACTAGAGTTGCTGGGGAATTCCCTGGTGGTCCATTGGTTAAGATTCCAGGCTTTCACTGCTGGGGGACCAGGTTCGATCCCTAGTCAGGGAACTAAGATCCTGCAGGCCACACGGTGTGGCCAAGTAAATAAATAAATTAAAATGTAAAAAACAAACAAAGTTGCCATATGATCCAGCAATCCCACTCTTGGGTATATATCCAGAAAAGACGGAAACTCTAATTGAAAAGATATGTGCACCCCAATGTCCACAGCAGCACTATTTACAATAGCCAAGACAAGGAAGCAAGCTGTGTCCACTGACAGATGAATGGATAAAGAAGATGTGGCGTGCGCGCGCGCGCACACACACACACACACACACACACACACACACACACACAATGGAATATTACTCAGCCATAAAAAAGAATGAAGTAATGCCATTTGCAGCAACATGGATGGACCTAGAGATTATTGTACTAAGTGAAGTAAGTCAGACAAAGACAAATACCATATGATATCACTTATACATGGAATCTAAAAAAAGATACAAATGAACTTATTTACAAAGCAGAAACAGACTCACAGACATATAAAACAAACTTATGGTTACCAAAGGGGAAAGGGGGGGGTGGGAGGGATAAATTAGGAGTTTGGGATTAATAGATACATGCTACTATATACAAAATAGATAATCAACAGGGACCTACTGTATAGCACAGGGAACAGTATTCAATATCTTATAATAATCTATAATGGAAAAGAATCTGAAAAGAATATATATACATATAACTGAATCACTTTGCTGTACACCTGAAACTAACACAACACTGTAAACCAACTATACTTCAAGTTAAAAAAAAGAAAAAGACTAAATAGAATTACCAAGCAAGGAAAGGGAGGGGGAATTTCAAAGTACGGAGAGCAGCATATGAAGAACACTACTACTGGGACAGACCTTTGAAGAAAAGCTCGGTTCACCAGATTATGCTCATAATGATCAGAAGTCATCAAGAAAAAGGTAAGCTATATTTAATATACTTGTTTTAAAAAGATGGGGCAATATATAAAATTATTTCTAAATAATTTTTGTTTAAAGTATTAACAAAACTTGGGCTTCCCTGGTGGCGCAGTGGTTGAGAGTCCGCCTGCCGATGCAGGGGACACGGGTTCGTGCCCCTGCGCGTCCGGAGCCTGTGCTCCGCAACGGGAGAGGCCACAACAGTGAGAGGCCCGCGTACCGCAAAAAAAAAAAAAAAAAAGTATTAACAAAACTTAAAAATTTGGCACTTTAATGGCAAGATTCAGTCATATGGAACATTAAGTATAATACTTCTTGACAATATTACTATTATGAAATTTCTGATACTTTATTCCCCTTTTAATTTTTAAAAAACAGATTACGAAAGTAATTCCTGAGTAGCTGGTTGTTATCAAAGTTTTAAAGAAAACCATTCCCAATTTCCTCCTCATAGGTGACCAACTGAGGACATCCTTCCACACCTTTACCTTTGCATCTCCACGTATGGACAAGCACTTATTTTAGATACACTCACGTATTCACCATTGTACATATATTTTGAAATTGTTATGTGACTTTTCATGTAATATATAGTGAAGATCTTTTATCATTATTAATTAGGAAAATTATTTTAACATTTAGCTAAAAGGTGAATACTTTGATTTTTAAAGTGTCAATTAATGAAGTCTTCCTGTTGGGCTAAAGACAAAACACTAGCTAAGGCCAAATAACCATATACTAATAAGTACACAATCCTAGTTCATGTTGTGGAGGAAAACATACTAAGGGGGAAAGCTGGGGTGTGAGGAAGGGAGGCTCTTAAATGGGGGCAGTGGCCCCTGAGCCATTCACTGACCCTTTGGGCAACTTAGCGGGATCCAATCCACTTCCCCTTAGTACCTGAGATGGCTTATATATCATTATCTGCCATTAACTAGTCTCATCAAAAGTATCACTGGTATTTTCTGTGAAGGGTTAGAAAAATCTCTGGTTCTTTAAATCTGAAATTACTGAAATTTGAGTTTGGGTTCAAACCTGTTTCTTGGGATTTGCCCACTGTAGCAGCTCACAGTTCTCCAGTTAAAAAAACAAATTCAGTGTATGTAACTCAAGCTTGATACATTCAATAAATATTTAAGTGTCCACTGCGTAGAAGGCGCTATAAATGAAGTTTGAGGTAACTGACTCCCAGATTAGTTACTAGGTGTGTGACCTTGGGAAAATTACTTTTCTATGTCCCAGTTACCTGATCTGAGACAAGGATGCAACTAATGAGTCTGTGCTGTTGTAAGGATTAAGTGAGATGCTGCACGCAAAGTACCTGGAACATAGGAAGTACTTAATAAATGCTGGCTGTCACCCTCTACCCTTTCCTGCAAAGAGGACTTATTGAAGTCAACATAGAAACACTTTTTTGTTTGCAGTGTGCGGGCCTCTCACTGCTGTGGCCTCTCCCGTTGTGGAGCACAGGCTCCGGACGCGCAGGCTCAGCGGCCATGGCTCACGGGCCCAGCTGCTCCGTGGCACGTGGGATCCTCCCGGACCGGGGCACGAACCCGTGTCCCCTGCATCTGCAGGCGGACTTTCAACCACTGTGCCACCAGGGACGCCCAACATAGAAACATTTAAAACAATTCATATTTGTGAATTCAGGAATAAAAATATCCACAATTAAAGGATCTGTTAATTAGCTTTTGCTGCAGGTTATAACCATACTTTGATTTTTAGTCTACATAAAGGAAAACTCTTGCAACCTGAAATCTATTCAAAGTTCAACCGGTCCTGATTTGAATTTGATTCTGCAATGAACTACAGTAGGAGGGCAGCTCTGCTAAGCAAATAATGAAAATAAGACGGCAAAGGACTGTTGACCACATCTAAGATAATGAGCTCTTGAGTAAATAAAAATTTTGTATTACTTATTTAAAAATAATTTCAAGTGACAGAAAAGGTGCAATAGTACACTCTTTACCTAGATTCTCTAATTGTTACATACTACCTTATTTGCCTTATTATCTCTCTCTAAATACAAACTTTTTTCCCCTGAACTATTAAAGAGTAAGTTACATACATCATGCTTTACCCCTAACTACTTGTATTCCTAAGCCCATGAACATCCTTTTATGAAATCAGAAGAGTTATGAACTACAGGACATTTAACATGGATATACTTTTATCTAATCTATGGTCCACATATCAGTTTTGTCAATTGACCTAGTACTATCCTTTACAGCATTTTCCTCACTATTAAATCTACACCAGAATCACCTATTGCATTTAGTTGTCATGTCTCAGTAAATAATATCTGATAGGCATTGTTTTTTACAAAATGAGTTGCTTAAAATAGACTAGAAAATTAAACTTGTAACTACAAAAAACGCAGCTGATTTAACTTCTGTTCCAGCATTTCACACAAAAAGTTATGTTAGAAATGCTATTTCTACAGTTCCAAAGAATTTACCGAAACAACCATGTCTCAAAAGGAGGTATCCAAGAACAAAAAACACTGAACTAATCTCATTAATCTTATTAAATATACAGGCAATGAAAACCAGTTCCAACCAAACTGTTGGGCCATATTTTATACATCTTGCGACACTACCTCAGAAATTAGGACAGGTCAAGAAGGACACAATGGAAAGTGATCACTGTAATTACTTACCTCTTGGGGGTTCGTGGGAACATTGCGGGGAAGGGGGTAATGGGGACTGTTTCCTTTTTATTCTACGAATTTCTGTACTGTTTGAATTTTTTGACCATGAGCACACATGTCTTACTTAATAATAAAACAAAATAAGCGAAGAAAGGAAAAGAAAAACTAGATGGCGGGGTGGATTCTTGTTTTGCGAGGTTAACCTGAACATCAAAGTCCATCTGTTTGTACTTTTGGTTTCTTCGCCTGAAGAGATGATGGTGACCCTTCCTTTAACTTACACAGGCAGACATCAGAAAGGTTAAGTATCACCAAACTACTATTTCAGGGAGAAAGAGCTAACAGACATGCTTCTCATAGGTCAGAAAAACCTCTCACTTGAACTGGCTGGCAGTTCTAAGGTTAACGGTCTGCCCTGAAAACCAGAAACTCAAGCAGAACCTTCCCGGATCTTAGAGCATTCATTCTGCAGCGGGGAATGGCGGAGCCAATGAAAGCTGTCGCGGGAGGGAGTACGGAACCGAGGAGGGCGTTCCGGGCTGTCAGCCGCACGGGAGGGACGCCGGGCCCCGCGCGCACCCGGGAGGGTCCGGGCAACGTGTGTCCGGAGCTGTCGGGCAGGCGTGGGGAGAGAGCGGCTCCGGAGGCGGGAGCCCGATCGGTCCCTTACCGAGCGCTGGGCACGTCCACCGGCCCGAGGCCGCCGCTGCCGGGGCCGGCTAGCACGTCCCCGCCGTATTTCTCCTCCATCCCGGGGATCAGGAGCCGCCGCCGCTGCCCCCGCTGCGGAGTCTCCTCATGTCTCGCCGCTGCCGCGGAACACCGGGCGCAGGCGCGTCACTCCCCCATGCCAGCGGCCCCGTCGGGTCCCCGTAGG